GTTTGGGAGTAGAGACAGGTACAGAATGCAACAGAACCTCAAGGGTCTTGCTGTCTTGTCAAGGCAAGATCAAGACCCATGAATATTTCAGGAGCAGCCGAGTGTTGAGTAACAGGATCGGGAGGATAAGAAGGTGTTGGAGAAGGCAGAGCGCGCCTGGAGCCAAGGGGGGTCAGGTCCAAGTGGAGGCCCCTGTGGTCCTGGAGAATTTGAAGGCAGACCTGTACAATAAAGATTTCCAGAAATAATACAGGGACTGCACCTACAGAGTCCCACTCCTTTTCCCTTCCCGTCCTTCTCCATCTTCCCCAGACCCAGTTACTGCTCTGCTGTCTCTCTCTTGCGGAGGGCTGGGCAGTGACCAGGGTGCCACAACAGATCACTCAGCACCTCTTCCTAGGTCCTCTCTGCCTAGACCTTCAGTATTGATGGCAGCTGCACAGGCCAGCCCTCCTAAGAAGCCACAGTTCCTGCCTTCTGCTGCTTGTGCTCTGCCTCACCACAGGGACCAGCCCTGCTCCCAGGCACCCTGCCCTCAGGACAGAGCAGTAAGCAAAAGGGACCCTGTCCAGAGTTGGCTCACAGAGTAGCGCTACAGGATGACTTAGAATAGTCTCCTACTGAGTACTCCCATCCTCTCATTCCCACTCAGTGTTAATGGTGGTAAGTGAGATTACACTGGGGGAGGGGGGTCGCAAAGGCTGTCAATCACCAGGAGAGGGGACACTGACTCAGCTGGGTGAATCGCTGAATGGCCTGTGTCTAGACTGGCTATAGCTACAGGTATCTGAGCATCCTCCAGCAAGTTGTTTTGCCTCATGTACCTTCATCTGCACAGGATTAGGCTGGGTTCTCAGAGTGCTGCTGAAGCAATGCAGCCTGGATTTTAGGAACAATAGTGTGGAGACAGTACCCAGGGTCATCCAGGAGATAGTCACCTCAGCTCATTGAGGTCCTACTATGTGCTAGCTCTCCCTGAGCCCTGCATGGACCAAAAGAGGAGAGCTCTCATCTTGTGGGGTCCTGCTTATGTAGCCAGAAGGTCAGAATGGAGCCTCCAACTACCCCACTATGGCAGAGAGCGTGTCTGAATAAGGGTGGAAGTGATGGGAGAGATTCTCTGATCTTGGCTAGTCTGAGGGCCAGCTAGAAATGTAGACTCTCACAAGACATGCTGGTGCATGCCTATAATTCTACATTTTGGAGGCAGAAGCAAGAGGATCAGGAGTTTAAGATCAGCCTGGGGTATGTAGTGAGACTGTTTCAAGGGAGAATAACCTTAGCATTTGGGATCCAGCTCCAATCTACCTAGTCGGGATCTGTATTTTAACATGATGCTGGGGACTCTGTACTCATTAGGTTTTTGGGATTACCCTGCCTGTCTGCTGGGCTTCATCTCTTTCTGTCCTGCCCACCCCACAAAAGAAATACATCATCATTAGCAAATGAAACAAAAATGCTAGGAGCAGAAATACTACTTCCAATGCATGGTACACACAAACGCTGGTGTAATCTGTTCAGCTTTAATTCACACATTCTTTAATGCTGTGATCATGGCACAGGACATTTGTTTTCTGACAGACCAGCATTCTGAATAAGGCCCTATCCAGAGTTGGTGAGGTGTGGGGGGGTCGGGTCCCCATTCAGAGGATGATGGATGTCCCACCTCCCGCTGCAATTAAGAGTCACTGATTTCCAAGTCACACCTCCAATACTGCATGGTTCTGAATTTTCCCACTTCCTGGGGATTGGGACCTTGAAGTTTCAGTTCACACAGGCCTCCGCTAAACCATCCTGTGTTTCTCGGGCACACATAAATATATCAAGTCATTGGGCCAGCACTGGCTGTAGCAACCAGACAATAGGGATGAAGAATTGATTGCCAGGGAACTAGTATCTTTTACAGAGTCATCTATGAGGGGTTGGAGCACAGGCCAGATGAGATGGGGCCTGGCAGGGAAAAGGTTCCCATGGCTTCTTCTGGACAACTGTGGGCATCTTCCCTCCCAGACAGCCCAGCCTTTCTCTTCCCACAAGCTCTCTCTATATATATCCCTGGCCCAGGTCTGCCTGGCAAGTGATAAAGGAGAACTGTCGTCCCAACTGTGTGTTCTGGGTGAAGCTGTTCTAGCTGGCCCTGTGGGTAGAGGATCTAGGGAAGTAGCATGTAGTGGTCAGCAGCCAGCACATGAATGACAAGGTCACCAGGAACAGATCACTGGCAGGGAACCCAGGGGTATGGTGCTGTATGGTACCAGGCCTCATAGGAAGTGATGTGGGGAAAGTTGGGATGAAGCCTTGGGAAGATGTGATGATTGACATTAGCAAAACTAAAACAGTGAGCCCGTGTTGGGTGCACTGCTCTCAGAGCTCAGAGGTTGCCCTGATGCTGAGTCGATACCCTGCTGGGATCAAGCACAGAGTGAAGAACACTGGCTTCTGAGCCTGGGAGCATCAGACAACCCCCTCCTTCGCTTATGGGGTGCCTTGCAGCTTCCCTGTGGCCCCTTGCAGCTTGTGGGGTAGTTAAATTTTTTGTTGTTGCCCAAAGCCAAAAACCGAGCCGGGAAAGTAGACTTGGAGATCTTCCCAGCTTCCTGTGCGAGGTCCAGCAGCTCTGTTGGGTGGGTTAGATGCCGAAGGGGTTAGGGAATGAGTTTGAGGAAGTTAGGGAGCTAAAATGATGGATTCCCAGGTCCTGGAATGACAGGTCTCCCAGCATTCAAGTCTCCTGGCTTGTAGGTCACTCAGCTTATCCCTGAGGTTGGAGGGGAGGGGGAAATGCCCCTAATGCCTGTCTGTTCTTAAAAGGATAGGCTAAATTTACAACACCTAATGCCTTTTGTCACTGAGCAGGTGGTGGCTGGAAGGATAATGAAGGATGGAGACTATCTTATTGTTTCTAGGCCCACAGGGTGCCCTGTGAAGTAAGTTTTGCCTTTTCCTCTAGATGATAGCCTGAGAGAGAGTACCCTGAGCCTCTGGGCTCAGAGCCAGGTGGGGCCAGAGGGAAGAGGAGAGCTGGGAACCTCAGCAGGAACCCCTGTGCTTTGTGCCCTTTTTGTGAGAGTCTGGGGGAGGGGACAGCACTATGGAAAGGGAGGGTGTCTATCCATCAGAGAATGGGTGCTTTAAATCCTGATCCTAAAACAAGCCATGAGGCGCTAGGGGGCTGTAGAGGCAGCATGAGTATGGCCGGGCTGGAATGGGGTCTCCGCACATGGCCAGGGCTGTCTCTCCCCCTCCCCCAGCAGATGTGCCGCCACGCCCTGCTCACACTACGAGCTGCAGCCCTGCCCTTGCCTGCAGCCTCAGGGTAACACTCTACCCTTTACAACAAAATGCAGCTGCGGCGTTTTTCCGACTGTTTTGTTCACTGGCAGGGAATAGGGGCAGGGCGGGGCAGAGTCCCAGGGTATCACTGCAGAGGCCAGGGCCTGGGAAGGGCGCCCCTCTTGAGTGGCCAGGTCGGGTGTGCTTAGGTCTCTTGCACACCCTCCCCTCTCCTTTCCCTGCTTTCCTTGGCCACTCTCGCACTGTGAAGACCAGAAGCCTCCCCTGTGGCTCCCAGCTACACGAGGTTCTCCCCATTTCTGTCCCGCTGTGACTTAGAAACTGAATTTGGTGGGGGGGGGCAGTGAAAGTGTCATTTTTGCCTTGTAGGCGTGAGGGAACCTGCAGGCGCATGCCCCAGAGAACCAAACACAGCAGAACACACAGAAAATTGCACACCCGTGTTCATAGCAGTTGTCCACGGCCAGGCGTGAGAACCGCCCGCATGCCAGTGAGAGTAAATACACATGATGTGTTACTGTAACGCGATGTCTCCTCAGCCATGAAAGTGCATGAGGGTCTGCTGTGTGGCAGCATGGATGAACCTTGAATGCACTGTGAAATAAACCGGTCACAAAAATATCACATGACTCCACTTAAACACAGTACCCAGAATAAGCAGGTCATCGGGTCAGAAGGAAGGTAGGGTTTCCAGGGCCTGGGCCAGAGGAATGAAGGGTAAGGGGAGTGGGTGAAGGGCTTCTGTCTGGGAGAAAGAAAAGGTTATAGAAGTGGAGATGGGTAGTAGTCATAGTTACACAACACTGTGACCATGCTTAACGCTATTGAGAACATACTTGAAAGAATGTTCATGTTTATTTTAGACACAGAGCAAAAATAGTGTGTGGACAGGGTATAGGAGCAGAGAGAAGGACCTGCCTGGCACCTGCTTGGGGTTTTGTTGCTTTGAGGTTCAATTCCCCAGGAGTGACTTCGGCGGGAGACAGAAGGGTGGTGTCTCTGTAAACCATGTCTCCGAGGAGAGCTAACGAGAGGGATCCTGGAGGTCTGGTCCCTACTATCAACTAAACATCTGGAGCTCAGTCTGCTCAGGCCCACTGAGGGCCACAAAGCTGCCGCCGCCTTGCAATTGTCATCTGAGATGGAAAGGCAGAGCTTCCTTCCTGTCTAGGGTGTCCCTGTGAGGTGCTACAGCCTAGATTGCCAGGTGTCAGGGATCAGGGGCCAGGTGGGTCCTGCAGCTGTCTCCTGTCTGAACAGCCCTGAGCAGGTGGCACCTGATGTTAGGCCTATCAGCTGTACCTGGAGCAGATTGGACAATAGCAACTGAAATGTCATTGCCATGTCCCATAGTGGCATCTTGTTCTGCCCTCAGTGTCCGTTTTCTTCACATGACATGTGTCCATGAGCCTCATGTGCCTGGGAAAACCCAGTGGAGAACCACAGGCTGCCATAGCAGGCCGAGCCTACACTCCATTCTATAGACTTGTGGCAAGTTCCTACCTCCTCTGGCTTCAGTTTCTTTCTCTTCATAGTTGGAACTCAGCATGTGCTTGCTGCTAACGATAAGCCAATAATATCCCACTAACTGTCCTGGCAACTGGGAGACCAAATTGCTTCTCAGAGTAGAGAGAATTTCTTCTCGAGTGGGGCGTTGTCCTGGCCTCCAGCAGCATCTCACAGAGGCTGTTTGTCCTCTTCCCCAGCAGCCAGCCCAGGCCCCCGAGCTGGAGGGATGGAGAACTCCTCAGCAGCATCGGCCTCCTCCGAGGCAGGAAGCAGTCGCTCCCAGGAGATCGAGGAACTGGAGCGCTTCATTGACAGCTATGTGCTGGAGTACCAGGTGCAGGGGCTGCTGACGGACAAGCCGGAAGGTGATGTCGAGAGCCAGAGGACACAGCCCCACATCTCCCAGGTGAATGATGGCCCAGGTCGAAGGGCTTGACAAGCTCAAAGAGGCGATGCTGGGGACCTTAATTCTGACAATGTCCTATCATTTATCCCTCCACTGCTGGGGTATGGTGGTCCCACGTGACACAGCATCCAGAATCCCAGACCAGAGGTTTCGAGAACCAGCCAGGAAGCCTTTACTTCAGCTGAGCACTCTGTGTGCTACTGGAGGAAGAGGGGCTTGTCCCAAGTCCCTCCCCCCACACACCCACAAATGCCCAGAGTAGGACAGTGGTGGCCAACTTTACTCAGGGACAAGGTTAGATCCATCTTTCAGAGACATTTGTTTAAAAAAAAAAAATCGCTATTGACAGAGCTTTGTAGGAAATAGTTCTGCTAATGCACTTTGCCTGTTTCTGTTTAATCTGATGACTGTTTTAAATGGAATTTAAAAAAAAAACACACAGACACACAAAGAATGTCTCTGTCTGCCTGTCTGTGGTGATGTTTTGATATTTCTGAGAAAGAAAATTTGTTAAGATTCTTGGTAACCTTGAGAAAGTTTAAGGGAGTGGAGAAGAATATTGTCCACTGGTGACATTTTTTTTAGACTCTGAGCGATGACAATGGACACTTAGAAAACACCTCATGATGTTTGCACAGTTGTGTTCTTCATCCCTAATCCAGCAACACTAGAAAAGAAAGACAAGTGGATAGGTTGGTAGATAGACAGACAGACAGACAGACGATAGGTAGGTATGGAGAAACAGGTAGATAATTAGGCAGTTTTCATTGCTGTGAAGGATGCTTGAACTTTCTTTTCTGGCATGTTCCAGTCATGATCAGCTGGGTCATTGTTTTGGGGCCATAGGGAGGCAGAACATGGCAGAGAACGTGATGTAATAAAGCTGCACACGTCATGGCAGACAGGAGAAAGAGAGAGAGCCAAAGAGGCTGGAGACAAAACACACCTGTCAAAGGCATGGCCCATTTCCTCCAATCAGGTCCTACCACCCAAGTTTCCACTACCACCCATTTGTTCAGCACCTACAATTACTTCTCTAAAGCCCTACCTTTGAGAATGTATGGGAGACCAAGCCTTCAACTGTGAGACTTGGAGGATATCCAAACCACACTGGATGGATGGATGGATAGATAGATAGATAGATAGATAGATAGATAGATAGATAGATAGATGACAGGTAGGTAGATAAGTGGATGGATGGATGGATGGATGGATGGTGGACAGATAGGTGGGTGTATGTATATATGATGGGTGGATAGATGGAATGAGAGGTAAATAGAGAGGTAGTTTCCCTTCTCTTAGATGATGTGGTAGTTATTTGTCAACTTGAAAGAGTCTAGGATCGCCTGGGAGTTGGGCCTCTAGGCATGCCTGGGGGATTATCTTTGATTGCAGTGAATGGTGTGGGAAAGCCTGCCTTGACTGTGGGCAGGACCATTCTTTGAGCAAGGAATCCTGAACTGGACGAAGTAGAGAAAGTGAGCTGAGCATTAATACAAGTTCAGTGCTCTGTGTTCTCTGTTGCAATATGATAGGACCAGCTGCTTCAAGCTCTTGTCACATGACCTCCCCACTGTGACAGACTGTCCTCTTAAACTATGTACCAGGACAGACCCTTTCCTGTGAGATGCTGTCAGAGTATTTTATCACTACAGCAGGAAAATTAATGAAAACAGTGAGTAACCATGTCTGTTTGTAGGATCCCAACTTTTCCCTAATACCACATTTAAGACTGCACCCTTTGGCCAGCATTAGACGGCCTTTCCTCTTGCACAAATGCAGGGTCCACACATGGAAACACACATACTACACACATAAATTTTTAAAAGTTAAAGTCTTTAAAAAGTTTAAAGTCTTTAAAAAAAAAACCTGCCTGTTTTCCAGTGGATTCTAAAATATCACATTTTTGACATTTCCCTTGGAGCTAGAGAGATGGCTCAGAAATTAAGAGCACTGGCTTCTCTCCCACAGGACCCAGGTTCTATCCTCACATGGCTGCTCACAAATATCTATAATTCCAGTTCCAGGGGATCCAGTGCCTTTTTCCAGCTTCTGAAAGCACCATTCTTGTATGTTTGCAAAGATCTACATGCAGACAAAATATCCATGTGCTTAAGATAATTTTTTTTAATTACATAAAAAGTTGTCAGACTTACAGCGTGGTCAGAGCACCCTTCCTGGCCCACCCCTCTCCCACCTTCTTCTTGTTCCCAGGTGTAATGGATAGTGTCAGGGCATTAATTCATAGAAGAGAATTAGGACTCGATCTCATTGGCCATTGGCCCTTGGTAGCGTAGGTGGGAATGCTATGGTGGGAAATGCTTGCCACCTCTGATGTTGCTAGGTAACTGGGTGATAATTCACCAGGGCAACATTTGCCTCCAGCTGAACAGGATCATAAGGACATTTTGGAAAATGTTGATGGCTGGGCCCTACACCAGAGATGCAGTCGAATAAGGAAGAACCTGAATATTAACCCCTATGTATGTAGACCTCTTGTGACTCTGACGTCCCAGTAGGGTTTTATTTAACACTTCAGGTGGGACATGGCTTTCTCCCTTCTCCAAGGCCAGCTGCCTCCTAGTGGGGTCTCTTGGGATGGCGGGATGTGTGGAAGTGGCATAGTTTCTAGTACACTCTTTTAAACAGGTTAAATCAAGAGCTACAGAGCCTGAAGCAGTTTCCTGTGGTCCTTTTTGATGCTGGGAGGCAGGCAAACATCTTGGGTTCTGTCTAATTCTAAGGACTCTCATGAAGAAGCTTGGCAGTGCTGATTATGTGGGAGGGGGTGAGAACCCTTCATTGGCTTCCTGGCTCCTTCTAATGTGGCTTCTCCTCCTTTCCCTCCATGTTCCTCCTGCCATTACGGGCCTGTTCACCTGCCCTCCATCCCTGCATCCCCTCCCATCCCATTTCTGTATTTTTTTTCCTACCTTGGGATCCGTGCTCACAGTTGTCCTGGCTCCATGGTAGGCCAGCCGTGAAAGGCTTCACGGAAGTGAATTATAGAATCATAAGTGGCTGGGCATGAGAAAGTCATTATATGCTCCTTCTTACTATTATTCCTTTTAATTTTATGAGTAGTCTCTACCTACATATAGATGTTCCACAAGAATTATGCCTGCCAGGTGGTGGTGGTGCACACCTTTAATTCCAGCACTTGGGAGGCAGAGGCAGGTGGATCTCTGTGAGTTTGAGGCCAGCCTGATCTACAGAGTGAGTTCCAGGACAGCCAGGGCTACACAGAGAAACCGTGTCTAGAAAAACAAACAAACCAATAAATGTTCCCTTCAATACAACCTTTCTACAACAATGCCTCTGTTGAGTTAACTTCCTTATCTATTTAGATGTCCTCTGATAATACAGCTTACAGGAATATGCTATTTTGAAATCATACAACATTCACATTTTCCCCAGCCCATATACCCAAAGATTCTTCCAGGCTTAGGCATCTACTAAATGGCTGTCCAGTGGCTCCTAGTGGGCACCTGCTTCTTAGTCCTTTGTTTAGTGTGAGGAAACCACTTTAACTGTCTATTAACCCCTGGGAATTCATAACACCTTAGCTCAATGGTTAGTTAGATTCCTCCTGCATGAATAAAAGTATTTCTTTGGGTAGAGGCTGGGAAGTAGAGTTCATTTTAGTGACTCTTGGCAAATTGCGCTCCAAAAAATGGCTGTTGTGCCCTTCATACTGCGCCAGTGTGTTGGGACACCCTGCCATTATATTTTACATTGTCCCTTTTCTAGTGAGGCTGAACCTTTTTTTAACCGACTTGCTAGTCATTTCCCCCCACTACATTAAATTTCATATTGATAAAATTTATTTTGGTTTTAAAACAAGAATTGGAAAGACAACTGGGAAACCAGAAAAAACCATCCATTGTTTTTTGTGACAAGGACTGGTGATAATCGTTGTGAACTTTTTTTTGTTCACCCTTTACAAAGTAGCTCTGCTGATAAGCATACACTTTAGCTTGCTTGTTTATTTAGCGTGCTCTCCTATACATTATTAGGTGGTGGTTTTTAGGATAAAATGTGGTTGTTTAAATCTGTTCTTTCTCTGCTGCCTACTGGTGGCCCAGGAGTACAATATAACTCAAGCTAGCATGTGTCCGTTCACGCATGGTTGTAGGCTCTGAAACAAAGTGATGGACAGAACCAGCCATGATCCCTGCTTTGCCAAAACTTGCTCCATAGGAAGGATGGGAAATAGGATGATAGGAGGCATTGGTAATGAACCAAAAAGGGGATGGAGACCAGGGCTGTTGGAAGGAGGCTTCAGAGGAAAGATGTGAAGGCTGTGAGAGAGTGGTCACTTAGGAATGAGTATCCCATGCAGAGAAAATAAACAAAGCAGAGCTCTGGGGTGGGGATGGAGGCCACAAAGGCACAGGGCAGAGGTCAGCCTGGCAGGTAGGGAGCACAGGAGAGTTATGGCGGGAGAGCCAGGCATCAGCGACTCCTAAGGCATGGAGAGAACTGTCATTTTGACAGATAGTTGAGTCCCAGCACGTGGGCCTTCATAAAACCCTGTGGATAGTCCTGGTCTCCCTAGCTGAAAAATCCTTGAGTCAGATGATCTTTTATATATATTTTTCATTTTGAAAATGTTTTTCAAAATACACAAAATCCCAATAATAGTACAAAGAATTCACCCGTCACCCTAATTGTTAATATAACTCATTTTACTCTGCCTCTAAACATACACTTATATCGCTATTGTGATATATTTATTTTAAGGGAATAATTGGGAAAACACACATATATAGATACATGTATGACTTTCCTTTGAATCATTTGCAGAAGTGAGACCCCTTTATCCCTAGTCACCTCAGTGTGTCCCTAAGGACAAGAATGATCACATGGTCACAGCAGAGGAAATACAGCTGCTGAACTCTTGTCCCATCCATGGGTCTTTTATTTTACCAGTTCTCCCAGTAAGCCCCTTAGAGCTGTGTTAGTCTTTCTCATCTCTGTGGCCAAATACACAACATAAGCAATCCGGAGACTGGAAGTTTTGTTTGGCTTCGAGAGGAATGGTTCCATGGTTGCTTGGCTCTGTTTCCGGGCCTGTAGTGAGGCCGAGCGCCGCCATGGCAGAAGGCATCACCAGAGGAAAGCCTCTGTCCTCCAGGCAGTTAGGAAGCAGAGAGAGAGAGAGAGAGAGAGAGAGAGAGAGAGAGAGAGAGAGAGAGAGAGAGAGAGAGAGAGAGAGACGGGAAGGGACTCCAACCCCAGGGATTTACTTCCTCCATCCAGACCACACCCCACAATAGTACCGTTGTAGTGTGATTCTACCAAGCAGTAATCCACCAGATCAAGGCCTCGGGATCCAGTCACCTTCCCACAGACAGCACAACTGGGGACCTGTTTGAGTGTTTGTGGGAGATGCTTCATATCCAAACCATAACAATAGCAAAAACAAGGCAAACTGGGCCCGGCTAGAACACTGAAACCAAAGTGTACATTGCATTTAGAATCAGGTGGGTTTGTTGCTGGGTTTTTTTTCTCCTCAAGTTAGTAGCTACGCTATTTATGCCCTTGGCTCATTCCGCCACTCTCTGATGGTGTAACCCTGGACTAGTTACTTAGTCATACTGAGTCCCAGTGTGTGATGTACATCTGTCTCAGGGCTTTGAGTCAACTTGGAACGTGTTTCCCGGGAGGGACTAGCACATGTTAAACATCTAGAATAATTTTTTCTTTATGTTGGCTAACCCCTGTTTTAAAACCCTGTCTTTATCAGCCATGTGTGGTGGCACACGCTATAACCATGTCCTTCTGTTCTGAGACTCAGATGTGCATGTAATTCTCATGTTCCCTTTTTCCTGTCGGTGGGTACTTCCTGGAGTTTTCCTTTTCTTATACGGTCTTGACACTTAGGTGACTCCTCTCAGTTTTGGAGAAAGTGGGTAATGTGGGTTGTCTGGTTTTTCTCATGATCACTTTAAAACTGGGCCCTGGGAGGGTGGGGAACCCCCTATAAAGTACTATGCCCTGCTCAGTGTGCAGCATCAGGGGCCCATGCTGCCACCGTGTGTCACTGGAGTGTTGCTCTTATGTGGTCAAAGTGGTGGCTGAGGGGCTTCTCCGTTTTTAATTAGTTAATCTTTGGGGAGAGCTGCCTTGAGACTTCGATTATCCACACACAGGGAATATAATCCTGGGAACTGATTATAAAAGACCCAAGGGGCTGCATTACTAGAAAGCGACACCTACTTACAGGTTCATATTCCACCCCTTACCATGAAGCCCAAGGAAGAAGATGGTATTTCCAGAGGCCAGGGTCTAGGCCATGTGTGAAGCTTACTCGACAAAGGCTGGAGCAGTGACGAATGCTCTCTGGGTGCTAGCCATGCCTTTAGAAGTAGAGAGAGGGAACATTCTGGCATCTCACTTCATCCTCTTTTGAGAAGCCGGGCCTGAGTCTAGATCACTGGGGAACACGAAAGGCGGCCCCGCTTCATACAGAGAGGCTCTGATGCCTGGCCTTCTCCGGAACCGTACTGTCTGATACAGAGTGGTTGGCCACATGTGGCTCATCCAGTGTGAGGTGTGCACCGAGTGGACTCCAAAATCTCGGTGCACAAAGAGTGTTGTCTTAGTTGGGGTTTCTATTGCTGTGACAAAACACCTTGTTTGATTTATACTTTCACAACACTGTCAATCATCAAAGGAATCAGGCCAGGAGCCTAGAGCCAGGGGCCAGGGAAGAAGGCATCTACTGTCGCTCTCCCCATAGATTGCTCACCCTGCCTTCTTGCAACCCAGGGCCACCTGCTCAGGGGTAGCTCTTGCCCCCCCCTCCCAGTGACCTGGGCCCTTCCGCATCAATCACTAATCAAGAAAATGCTCCACAGGTTTGTCTACTGGGCAGTCTAATGGAGGCAATTCCTCCATTGAGGAATCTTCCCAGATATGTTGAGATTTGTTTTTGAGTTGACAAAACCAACCAGCTTATATCAAAAGGCTAATTAATGTTCGTTTTATTCCTCTTACTATATAACTTAAACTCAGGATCCTCCTGCCTCAGCTTCCCTTATGATGGGATTATAGACATGAGCCCCTGTCTTATTTTTTATTATTATCTATAAGTGATAGTATTTTTAACGTATTGGGTTATGTCAGGTAAATTGCTTAATTTAATTTCTTAAAATCTGCTTCTCAGAACTATAGTCATGTCTTGTGGCTTACCTTTGTGCCATTCATTTCATTTCCTTGGAGTATACTTGACCTTGGCCTATAGCATCAACATCACAAGGAAAGGTCCTCCCTGCTCCAGGCATACTGCCCTTAGTCACAGTGTGCCTGCACTGTTCTGGAACCCTCCCTACTCAGCTCTGACTGGGGCCACACTCTATCTGCTGTGCATGCCACTTGGTGTGAAATGTCTAACACCACGTTGAAGCTGGCTTGCACTTGGCAGAGGACTGACTTCCTGCTCCGGTGTATGTGTGCAGTGGCAATATTCCTGCACAGAGTTGCCCAGCATTGCCGTGGCCATTAAACAGACACCAGCATGGGAGCGAGCACATGGATTTCCGTGGCTTCCAGTACAGCTCGTAGGAGTCTGTCAGAATGCTAATCCTTGGCCCTAGCCCTACAGACACTGAGTCACCAATGGAGAGTGAAGCCCAGGGTTCTCCCTATGACAGACTCTGGGGACACTTGTGTAGGTGGTAACCCACAACACATTGGGACATTCCTCAGCTTGAGCTAGTCATCTGAGACCTGTCTGCAGTTTCTCCATGATGCCAGCCAGATCCATGGGCATCTGGAGCTGGGTGCATAGAGCTACACACACTTGCTGCCTTCCAGCCCCAACCACGTACCTTATCACAGCCAGCATAATGGTCAGAGGTGACACTGATCGTCCAGAATAACAACGTGTCACGTTTGGCTGGCTTTAGGATGGAACTGAAACATTATCTTTTTGTGAACTTAGGGCTTCCCCGGGCCTATACCCAGGGGCCACCTTGGTGTGGTGTTTAGACAGGCCACCTTAGACTTACTGGTCTTTAGGGGTGGGTTTGCCACTGATGCCAAGTGAGCCTGCTGGGAGGCGAATGAGGGTGAGCACGTGCCCTGCTGTCACTAACCCCACCTTTCTGCCTGCAGTGGACTGCTGACTGCAGAGAACAGCTGGATGGCAGCTGCTCCTTCTCCAGAGGGCGAGCCCCGCCACAGCAGGTAGGGAACCAGCTCTGCGCTCCATCTGGAAGCTGTCACGTGTTTCTGCTTTTCTGGGACCCTGGGGCTGACCCTTGGGTGACTCCTAAGTGATGGGAATGAAGGAAGCAAGCAGAAAGGATGGGAGGGAGGAGGGTACAGGGCCTCTAGGAAGCCTCCCTGAATTCCTTTCCCACCTTGAAGTACTGCGCCTGCAACACACGGATTCGAAGACTGCTCCTCGGTGGCCTTTTATGAAATGCTACGTATCTGGTAGCAACCAAGACGCCCACTGAGAGGAGGGTAGTGAAATGATCTGTGTGTGGTGTGTCCTTGGTGGGATATTGTATGATGTCAGGTGAGCACACTGGAGCCTGGGCGCTGACACTGGTGGGCCCACAGGCACTCAGGGTTTGGAAGCTGATGGAATGCTCTGGAAACCTCTTCTCTGGGTCTACAAAGGACTGGGAGTGGAGCTTGCGGAGGAGCTCAGAGGTCTGGACTCGCCCAGTCCGCAGACGTTCTGGGGCAGGGCGTGTTCTCCTGCCTTGGGCATCCTGGCATTTCAAGGTGTTGCATGTGCAGGGGGTCCTGAGGGGCAGTGTGGCCGGGAGAGAAGGGAGGCAGCTGCCCCTGGAGACCTGTCCTGGTCACATGGGTGTGCGGCCTTTCCAGCTGCTCTCACTGCTTGTGAAAACCAGGAGGCTCGGAGCTGAAGAAATCACTCCCCCCGGCCAAGCCTGGCCTCACAGTTGGCCTTTGCCCACCTCGGACTCCACAGCTCTTGATCCTGCAGTTGCTTTCGGGACACATTGCCAGGATCACAGGCTTGGTGCCACCTCAGTCCCTCCTGCTAGTTAGAACTAACCCCTTGCTGGGGTTGCAGCTCGGTGGCCAAGCCCCTGCTTATCACGGTCAAGGCCCTAGCCTCCACCCTAGCACTGTGGGGATAAAAAGCAAAGCAAATGCCGCATCTCTATTCTGCTCCGAAGGAAGATACTTAGTACCCTCAACTCAAGATCATTCTCAGGCTCCAGGGCTTTGCTGCCCCAGGGCGGTAGTAGTTCACTCTCTTTAAATTTGTGTAATTGTTTCCACCCTAGTTAGCGCCTCTGCTGTGATAATGACAGAAAGAAACACGGGCAGGAAGTGGACCATGTCTACCCTCCCAGATGCAGACCATTACTGAGGCCTTACCATCAGCATGCATTGCCTTGCCCTGCTCGTGGGACTCAAGGCAGGAACTCAAGCAGGCAGGAACCTGGAGGCAGGAAGGAGCCAAAGCAGAAATCACAGAGGAGTGCTGTCCATTGGCTTGCTCATCCTACTTTCTTATACAACCCGGGTCACACGCGCCCAGGACTGGCTCCACTCACAGTAGGCTGGGCCCTCCCACATCAAGAACACGCCCAACAGACTTGCCTGTGGGCCAGTCTTAAGAAGGCATATCCTCCATTGAGAGTCCCTCTTCCCAAATGAGTCTGGGTGTTGCCAAGTTGACATGAAACTAATCAACAGTTTCCTTTTGTAAGGAGTACGGTTTTTCCTCCCGCCACCAGTCTTGTCCCGCCGCCGCGCCAGCCCCAAATAACACACAGAGACTCTGTATTTGATATTATACTGTTGGCCAGGTACTTGTTTCTTATCGGCTAGCTCTGTCTTAAGTATTAATCCATTTGTGTTAATCTATGTATTTCCACATGGTCTTCTTACCCGGAGCCGGCTGCCGCGTTCCGCTCTCTCCAGACTCTCCATCTTGGCTCCTCCTTACTACTTCCTCTTTCCTCCTTGTCCCCTAGTCCCTCTTATCTTCCTTTCCTATTGGCCAACAGTGCTTTATTCATTAACCAGTATGAGAAACATATACAGAATGACATCTCCCATCAGTTTATGTTAACTGTACAGAGTATTTGATTTCATTTAGCCTTCCCATACGTGTATATTAAACTGCAGAGACACAGCTGTGTAACAGGTTAGGGGCAGGAGCCGGATTCTGGTTTTCCTTCTGCTACTTGGATTCTGGATGGCCTCTGAGGGTCCTTTTGGCCCACGCCTATCCCATTTGCAGATGAGTAAACTGGGATGCACAGAGAAGGGGGGGCTTGTCCAAGCTGGAATGTGCTGCACCCAGGTCTCATGTCTGCCCAGTATCTACAGGCTCCTTCCACCTGCCCTGTGACAAGTAAATACTTCCAAGGGCATCTCAGCCTGCTCTGTCCTTGGCAGGGGACCCCAGTTTCCTTCCTGAAGCATCCTCCTGGGCCCAGGCACCTTGAATACATTATGAGGTCCAGCTGACCACAGTCCCTACTTTGGGGAAGGCCAGGGAAGTCCCCCGGGATGAATGAAAATTTCATTTCAGAATGAAATCCAGCTGGACATAGAGGAGAAACTGAAATGCTTTCTTGGTTTGTGGAACGGAGCCGCAGGTTCGCTGTGGGACAGGAACCTTGGACTGGCGGTAACAGTCTGCACATTGCCTACCTACTTGTCCCTGGCAGTTATAGCAGCATTGCTACCAGCTGACCTGTGGCTCCCTCTGGTCATCTCTGAAGGAAAAGGCTGGGACACACCCACACACGATGAGCGACCACATGGCCTGTGCCTCGAAGTTGGGGTGAGGCCTTGCAGTGACAGTGTTGGAGAGTGGGGAAGGCTTGTCTTGCCTGTGTTCGGTTGGGGCACACTTGATGTTGTGAAAACTGCTCGGATCCAAGGCGGTGGAGTCAGGGGCCTGGGGTGAGACCCTGGATGGAATTGATGTCATGCTTCCTCCTTTGGGGACCTTAGGTGGGAATGAGCTGCCTGTGGGGCAGTGGAGCGTTGGGTGGGCTACACGGGGCCATGGCTAGAGCAGCACCTGACTGACAGACGATGGCAAGAGTGGCGGACAGCACCTGTGTCAGTGGCGGAAAGGCTTGATGTGTGGAGTTGGGGGACTGCGTGAGACAGGGCAGCAGACACGGGCTGGGAGTCAGGTTCTTCCCTGCCTCTAGCCCAGGTGAGTCTGGAGGAGCAGTCTAACAGCTCAACAAGGTCAGGCAGAAATGCCAGAAATGCAGCGGGCATCAGGAGGAGGAGAGGATGGGGCAGGTGGAATGGTCTTCTTGCCTTCAGCCCAGAAGGCTAGCATGGCATGGCCTGTTCTGAAGAGAGGCCCAGGGGTGGGTAGCACCCATAGGGATTAGCCATGCAGGGGGATGCTTGTTTCTCTACAGCAGGCAAGGCTCTCGTTCTTTGGGTATTTCAGCTAATGCGAAATGATGATATCTTGCCCTCTCTGAACGCTTTCCGGCAAATCAGGGTAGCTGGCAGGCATCCCGTGAAGTGGGAGAAAGGGGGTCCAGGGTTCAGCTTGGGAAGCTCCTCTTCCCAAGAGGCTGCTGCTGCCACTGGTCATTTGGTGAGGATGATGGGACAAGTCCTGGCTGTCACTGCAGTAAGGGAAACGCATGGTGACAGCTCAGAGAACGGGGAGACCAGTGGTACTGCACTCAGAGACCTTGTCCACGTGCAGGCTGGGGGCGTCTGCCGCTCTGCTCACGTGTACGGAGGAGAGGAAATGGAGGTGGAAAGAGCAGCAGAACCTTGAGAAAGACGTCCTGGCTGAAGGACTTGATGGCCTGTGACAGTGGCTCTCAAGGCAATGGAATCATTGCTGGGAACCTGATTGCCACACCTCCTTATCGGACAGTTGACAGCTCACGGAGCCCTGGGAAATCTGGGGGAGTGTGGGGAATGATGTCAGGTTGTGGCCGCTGACTTGTAACCTCACCTTCTCTGGAGTGTAGATGTGGTGTAGGACACCCCATTACGAGAGGGGAAGAGCCTTGTCCCTAGATGACCCTGGAGTAACACTGGTCCTAATTACCTCTTGTTATGAGTAAGGTTTTTCCTGCTGGCCTGGACCCACCGCTGCGCCAGCCCCAAATAACACACAGAGACGCTGTATTAGATATAATGCTGTTGGCCTGTTACTAGTTTCTTATCAGCTAGCTCTGTCTTAAATATTAACCCATTTCTATTAATCTAAGTATTTCCACATGGTCTCATCTTACCGGAGAGTGGGGCCGGCCTCTGCTCTCTCCAGTCTACATCTTGACTCTTCCTTACTACTTCCTCTTTCCTCCTTGTCTCCTAGTCCCGCCTATCTTGCTTTCCTTTTGGCCAACAGTGCTTTATTCATTAACCAATAAGAGAAACATATTTACAGAATGACATCTCCCATCAACCTCTTCTACCAGTAGGACATTGGCATAAGTCTGGGTTTCCATGCCAACGTGCAAGCTAGTGCAACCATGACAGATTCAAAGGGTGGCAGATGGCCGCTAGGAGAACACCAAACACTTCAGGCCCCCTAGCCCTGGCAAAGGTCAGGTCAGCCGTCCAACCTGGCTGACCAGCAATGGCAGGATGTGGATTGTTGAGAGTTAACAAGTCATTAGTATGCCTGATGCCTTAGAAAAATGCCTGGACGTTGAAGCTGCTGCTGTGGATGAGGAAGAAATCCTTCCTTCTCTATGTGCATGCCACTGCTCTGTCTGAAGGGTTCATACTTACTGAGCAACATTGCATGCTTGGCCAACGCGTAGCAGCTGGAGCTTTCTGTGTCATTGCTTGTAGAGTGACAGTTCAGTAACCCAAAGTGGATTCAAGGCGTGTACCTGAAGTAGCCCTCTCAACAGATGTGACCCGGGAACTACAGTCATTTTGAGTGACCCTTTTGGTCTCTGGGGAGGATATGAGAATTGATGTCTTCCTTTGGGAACAGGTAGAATGCTTGAGTAGATAGAAAGGAGAAAAGATGGAGGAATGATTAGCAAAAAGAAGTTGGACATTGTATTGGCGCTGGGGTGGTAGGTACAAACACAGCTGGCATTGATGGCCGGTGCTGGGTAGTAATTAGCTAGAGAGGCGGAACGTGATGAATGCAGAGGTGTCTGCCGGGCTGAGGTGTTGGAATTCCTGTCCTATCCAGTCCTGTCCTTCTTCATGTGCTTGTATATATTATATAATTTCCTCTGTTGTTCTATGCCGAAGTCAGTGCCTTGTGCCAGTCAGTATAGCCACAATGATGCTGTGTAACAAGCAACCCCAAATCTCAATAACTTCTAACAACCCACTGGAGCCCAGCTGGCTGATGCAGTTGCCTTTTTCTGAGTTGGGATGTCACTATATAACCAGGGCTGGTCTAGAACTAAGGATCTTCCTGCCGCCTCCTCCTCCTGAGCACTGGGATTACAGGTGTGTGCCACTATACCTAGCCTGGCAGTTGTCATTTTTACCCATCGTCGTGTGGGGAAAAGAGCTCAGAGGGCCTTGCATTGGCAGTTTGTGCTGCAGCCTGAGTGTACCTTCTGTTTGGCTGTGAGCTATTTGTCCAGACTTTGAAAGCGAAACCCCTTCATTCCTGGAGGCTTCCTTTTGTCACAGTTGGAACATGCTTTTGCTTGGATGTTTGGTTTCCCACCCATTGATCTCTTGCCCTGGCAGAGGTGGCATCTCAGCAAGTTAGCTGACATGAAGATTGAAGGAGAATTGAGTCTCATAACACAAGAGTGTCCTAGTTTCCATCAGAAGCCTTGTTTTAGCAAGAAGCAGAAGATTCTAAACAGTGACAAAGGTCAGTGGTTAATGCCAACCCTGAGATGCTAAGTCAACCCTCATCAACATTAGACCTGTGCCCTGGAATAAAGATGAAGGGGTGAGTCATTGGCAGGGAGAGGATGTGCAAACCCTAAATCTGACAAAGCTCATTAATTATCCCATGAGGAGCAAATGAAGAGACATTTCCACCAAGGAACTGCAGACAGGAACTGGGCACACAGGCGATCCTCCCCACCACTGGCCCTCAAAGAAATGGGAACCAACCCACGAGGCACCCCTGCACTCTAACAGCTTTAAATGCTGATGCACATGTCGGGGGAGAGGGGCTATAGAGCTGGTGAGGGATATAAAACACAGTCATTCCATGCATTTGTCAGTTTCATTAAAAGAAAGAGAACGGAACCTTTGAGAGTGATGTGATCCGACACGCGTACTCCTGGGTATTTGTCCCAGAAAAATGAAAGCCTGTGTTCGCATGAAACCTGCCCTCAGGTTTATGGCAGCTGCATCTGAGTGGCACACACTAGGGTCATCTGGAAGGAGGGGGCCTCAACTGAGAAGATGCTTCCATGTAAGTGCCATCTGTAAGGCGTTTCCTTAGCGATTGATGGGGAGGGTCCAGCCCATTGTGGGTGGGGCCAGCCCTGAGCTGGTGGTTCTGGGCTCTATAAGAAAGCAGCCATGGAGAGCGAGCCAGTGAGCAGCGCCCCTCCATGGCCTCTGCATCAGCTCCTGCCTCCAGGTTTCTGCCCTGTGTGAGTCCCTGTCCTGACTTCCTTTGATAGTGGACTCTGATGTGGAAGTGTGAGCCAAATAAGCCCTTTCCTCCCCAACTTGGTTTTGGTCATGACGTTTTATTGCAGCAGTAGTAACCCTAACTAAGACACAAACTCAACTGTTCTTCAGTGGGTGAGTGGTCAGATATGCTGCGATGCTCACCAGTAGGAAGGCGTAGCCTGTGGCCACACCCCCCACCCACCCCTGGGATAAATCTTCGGTTGATGGTGTGTGGGAAAATTCCAGTTCTCTGAAACTGTTTAATCCAAGAACCCACCTCTGTCATGTAGCCATACGGAGCAGTAGTTGTTGCTAGGAAGTAGAGGCAAGGATAGGGACGGGTAAGGCCAGAAAAGGGGCCATAGAGCGAACTCTGCCGCAATGGAAATGCTTGTGCCCTGGCTGTATCTTGAAAGTAACGACGATTTATTCTTTTAGTATGAGTTTCCCTGTGGAGGGAAGCTGGAGTCTGTCTGTATTATTCCTTACAAGTCCACACCAATATCTATTTCTTACAAGTTCAAACAGCTGTTTAAACACAGCTTACTTTTTAAATTATAGAACCCTGTTTCTTCAGAGTCTGTGTGGCATTTCGGCATTGCCAGCCATTGGGGAAATGTAAACTGAACCCACGGCGATATATTATTATTTCAGAATGGCCAAGGCAAGTGGAAATTCTCAAAGTCCGGGAGAAGATGCGTGGCGCCACCCTCCCCATCTACGGTCTGCACACTCCTGCTCTACTTAGCCCCGGGCCCTCTGATGCCCATTTCTTACCCAGCCCTCCATGTTTGGTTTCATCAGAAGAGACACAGACCAGAGAAGAGTTGTTAAGGAAAGCCTCCCTGTTCAAGATGGAGTCTTGGAGGGTGGAATGGTGTTGGGGTGCAGATTTTATGTTCCCCTCTGCTGGGAGCCTTTCCGTGGTAAGGAACAGGAGACATTTGTGGGGCCCTGATATTTCAGTAGAGGCCCATCAGGCAGCCCACCAAGAATGGCCTGTGACATGGCCCAGCCTCGGGCAGACACACATAGCACAGCCCACGTTGAGCCTCTCAGCCGTATGCCCAGGTGACAGAGTTGGTGGGTTAGGAGGGGTAACTTGGCCACAGGCTTCAGCCTGTCTCCATCTCTGCCTGACCTGTGTGTGCTCTTCTCCAGCCTCAAAGGCACCTATGTTGTCCTTGGATGCAACATGTCTGGTCCTCTCACACTAGCCCTTGGGTGCTGTCCTTGGTGCTAAGTGTGTGTGTGTGTGTGTGTGTGTGATGTGTAAATATACAGTGTATGTGCTATATATGTGGTGTGTATGGTATATAAATGTATGATGTGTGTGGTATCCATGTGTACCTTGTATGTAGTATGTTTGCGTCATGGACTGCATAGTGAAGTTCCGACCAGCGGTGGACTGCATGTACCACACTGGACCCATCGCAGGGAAAGATATTTCTTGTTACCTAGCAACATCATAGCCATTGTTTTGTCACAGCACAAGGCATTAGTCACAGCGTTGTTGCCTTTGCTTTGGTGCTGCTGCGGTGCCCACATCAGAGCCCAGGTCATGCTGCATTGTAACTGAGAATGGGTTATCACACACCAACTTTGTGGGCGGGGCCCATGGCTCCTCCCCTGAACCCAGCTCTGTTCTCTGCATTGCTCTTCTCCAGCCTCAAAGGCACCTATGTTGTCCTTGGATGGAACATGTCTGGTCCTCTCACACGAGCCCTCGGGTGCTGTCCTTGGTGCTAAGTGTGTGTGTGTGTGTGTGTGTGTGTGTGTATGTGTGGTGTCAGTAGCTGCCTAGGTACATATGGCGCACACCCCTTTTCTGGAGAGCTGGTGGCTCAGAGTGATGGTGGATCCTGGGATGGACTGACTAGTCTGCAAGGGTAGTCAGTAGATTGGTCCTGCAGAGAGGATCCGATAATGAAGGCTGGAACAGCACCGGTTAGCTAAGCAAGAGGCCATAGCACACCTAAAGAAAAGTAGTGTGTCACAAACTCAACGGCCAGACCAAACAGGACATTTGGCCAGTTTCTTTGATGTCCCCTCCCATTTGCGGTTTGTAGCCACAGCTTCGTTTTTTCTGTCCTAAAACTTTATGTGAATCACACCATGTAGCCAGTGCTCTTTTGTGTCTGTATCCCTTCTTCCAGTGTTCGCGGGCTTATTTGTACAGTCACGTGACGTTTTCACGTGTTCATTCTCACAGCTGTATACTATTCCAATCTGTGAGCATAGCAGCTTTCCGTGTGGGTGGCTTCCAGCTCAGCGCTGTCTTATCTGGGGACATCCGTACACCACGGTTGTAAACACTGGATTACACCTTGGGGTGAGCCCCTGTGTCTCTTGACTTGTATGATGATGAACACTACGCAAGGTTGGGGCAACTGATGGAGGGTTTGTTGGGGTGATCAGCACCCAGAGGGCGGTGACCAAGTCATAGACACAGCGCCACGTAAAGCACTTTCTGTCTACGGTATGAGTCATGTAGGAGGCCTCCAAGGACCCAGCCTGCAGAGATGACTGTAAGAAATGCAGTCGCTGGAGTGGCCTTGGTCAGTGGGGTTTCTCAGTGCGGCAAGGCCTACATGTTTAAAATGTCCACTCCTGTGTGGGTCTTCAGCCAGCCTGCTGTTTTGGATCCCATGACCAAGGAGAAACCATCGTCATCAGGCAGGCAGAGGTGCCTTAGGCTCCTACAGTCACATAGAGTGCCCGCTTGGTACTGAGACGTTGAGAAGGGACCACAGGCTTCGGCAGCAGAGATGCAGGCATGCCGGGTCGGTCTGGACTGCACACCTCTGTGGAACACATCTCAAGGCCTGTGCGTAGGAGGGGGCCTGCAGTCCCCACGGTCCCCTGGCCCTCCTGATGCTCCTGCTGGGACACTCCAGCCACCCATGCCCAGCCTTAGGTGTCCAAGAGGGCTCTGCAGCCCTCTCATGCTTGGACCTACGGTGGGCTCTATCCGATTGTTTTCAGGGCCCTGACCCCGAAAGTAACGCCAGCCCCTCACCTTGTGTCTTTCAGAACGGCAACAAAGACAACTCTCTAGACGTGCTGGGCACAGATATCTGGGCCGCCAACACCTTTGACTCCTTCAGGTAACTTTCTCCTCCTTTCTCTGTGGCCTGCAGTGCTGGCCACTGCCTCCTGCCACGTCAGGGTTCATGTATGGGGCGGGTTCGGCAGGGAAACAGGGATGATGCCGTAGGGGAAGGAGGGCCGCTGGCAGAGGCCCAAGGAGGAAGACGAGGGAGAGAGCATCCAAGAAAGGAAAGGGCAAAGGGTAAAGGGCAAGGGAGACAGGAAGACTGAAGGGAGGAGAGAGCGGGGGGGGGGGGGCCTGGGGCGGGTGGGTGCGTGGGAGGAAGGGGCCCGTGGCTATCATGGGAAGGGGAGGGGTAAGCCCCACCCTTCTCACATGCCAGTCTTCAGGAAAGGGCATACTGCGCTCTCTCGTAGAGCATCTACAAGGCACGCGTGAGGTTTGCTCCTTAGCAGCACACACAGGACTGACTGTCACACTCTAGAAGGTTCCTGATGGTGCCTGTCATTAGCCAGGACTCCTCAGGACAAGGGGCATACCCGTTATGGTACTTGCCACTCTTGTCTCTAGTCTTTAGTATTTCTGCCCCATCCCCTTGAGCGCCCAACTGTGGGCACTGCAGGTACACCTGGCCGGGTACAGACTCTGGAGCGTGGCGGGGCTCTTGGGATGGGAACTGGGGAGCTGGCCCCTGCCTCCCTACCTCTACCCGGTGACAGGCCTTTGTCCTCCTCCTCTCTCCAGCCCTGGGGTGTGGGCGCCCTCCCCTCCCCGCCCCCTGAGCCTCCTGCCTGCGCTACCTCCCGCTTACATTTGTCGCCCTCCCTCACCCTCTAGCGGTGCCACCTGGGACCTGCAGCCCGAAAAGCTGGATTTCACCCAGTTCCACCGGAAGGTCCGCCACACGCCCAAGCAGTCCCTGCCACACATCGACAGAGAGGGGTAAGGACACCGCGGAGGGCCTCGCACGGGGAGGGAGGGAGCTGTGGCGGGGCATGGCTTCGTTCCACTGCGCAGGGGAAATGGCGGGAACCCATTGTGACAGGGAACGGTGCTCTCCCAGCAGCCCCGATGCTGGCTCCTGTACGACACTGAGCGTCTTTTATCAAGTGGCTGGTGGGTTTCCAACTGCAGCAGCTGGGAGACTTACCGTAAAGCCAGAAAAGGACCTACCCTGAGTCTCACAGTCAGTAGGTCTGGGGTTCTTTCCGTCCCAGCCACGTCCAACCTGTGGTCAGTGGACAGCTGCAGCTGCGTGCAGACGAGCCAAGGCTAGCTGGGAATGGAGACTCAAGTCAAAACTGCAAGCTTCCTTAAAACGTTATGAGGTGTGCTGTGGTTTTTCCGTGAATCGATTTCAAGGCTCTCATGCTCCCACTGTATAGGTAACTTTGTCGTGCTCCGGCATCAAATAGCTAGACACATCCAGTCGGTCAGATTATCCCTTCTCACAAGCTCCCGGAGATGCTGATGCTACCTGCCTGTACAGAACCCCCGTCCTGGGAACTGGTCTTAGGGCACCTTCACCCTGGCCTGGCTGCCCTCAGGACGCTTGCGTGGTACCAGCCAGACATAGGTGTGATACAAGCATAGAGATAAAATCCATGTGGGACAAAAAACAGCCACTTAAAACTATGTGGTTCAGCGGCCTTGAGCTTGTTTACAATGTTCTGTGTTCATTGTCTGTCTTCTCGTCACTCCAATTTAAAGTGGTCCTTCATAGTCACACCTTTGTGTCCGGCCCCACCCGTAGCCCCTGGCAACCACCCATCTGCTTTCTGCTTCTATATTTTCCCCCTGGATAGAGATGGCATTGTTTGTGTCCTCTTCTGTCTGCCATCTTTCAATGTTTTCAAGGTTTGTGAGTGGGCATCCGTAGTCCAGTCCTTTCTGGAGCTGAACAGTGAGTGGTCCACAGCACCGCGGCTCCACTGTTTGTTAAACCGTCCATCCACTGATGGATATTTGGGTTCTTTGCTTTGGACTTCTATGGAAAACACTGCTTGGGACATTCCACTTATATGTACATATCTGTTTAAGTCCCTGCTTGTGGGATTTCTCATTCGTGTGGGATCTATATGTAATGTGTTCCAGAACTATGAAGTGTTCCAAAAGATGCTGAATATTTTATATTCTCACGGGGAGCATAAAAGAGTTCTGATTTTTCCCATCCACAACCTCATTTGTTCTTTGGGGGACTTTTGTTGTTTGTTTGTTTGTTTGTTTGTTTGTTTGTTTTTGAGACAGGGTTTCTCTGTGTAACAACTTTAGCTATCTTGGAACTCGCTCTATAGACCAGGCTGGCATTGAACTCACAGAGATCCACCTGCCTCTGTCTTCTCCCAAGTGCTGGGACTAAAGGCATGTGCCGCCACTACCCAGCTTGGGGGTCATTTGTATTTTATAATTTTCATTCTTTTCCCTCCAGTTCTTGCTGCCCATTCCTGCCTCAAAGTTACCCTCACCCTAAAATAACTGACGTCGTGGGATGTCTTACTATATTACCATGTGTCCTCCGGCAGCCACTCTGCCCCTTCCCATCTGTAAAGGCCATTGCTCTTAGTGGCACAGGTCTCCCTGTTGGGCGCTGAGCAGGAGCCCTGGAGAGGTGACAGGTTTGTCCCATTTTAGAAGCAGGAGAAATGAGGTTCAGAAAAGGTTAAGTCAAATACGAGGTGGAATGGGGCATTTTGGAGAACCCAAGGAGAGCTTCAGAGACACTTCCTGGTAGCTCCAGTCCCTCCCGTGTCCCCTGGGAGCATGTCTTGTGAAGGAGTGGGAAAACTAAGCCTTGGGAAATCTAGGAGATAGTGCCATCTTAGACTGAGTGGGGAATCTGAGTCAGCTTCCCTCACAAGCAGGTTGCTTGGAGGAAGTGACTAATGTCTGCACAGGGGAGATTGTTCTGTGCCTGGCATCACTGTCCTGTCTTAAACCAGAGGGCCAGGCCATCCCCGCTCACCAGCTGTGGGTCCTACTTCCTTCACCAGGCTCACCCGCTCAGCAGAGGCTGGCTCAGCTTTCTAGGGTTGGGTACCCAGCCTTGGACCCATCCTGCCATTCCGGATGCAAGGATAGGAACCCTGTCCCCCTTAGTCATGCCGTGTGAAGAAGGATGGACTCCACGTGTCCAGCCGCTGCAACCTCCCTCAGAAACAGGTTACCACGGCTTCCCACAGCTTGTGTTTCCATAGATGGACAGAACTGGAGCGGGCTGTTGCCTTGGCAACCCCACTGGCAGCAGTGACTCAGCTGGTCTGCAGCCACCATCTGCCTGCCACACCTGCAGGTCTGTAGGGAGTCTGACCCTGAGCAGGCAGGCTAGGGGTCAGAGCTGCCCCGTGTACGCTGCCCTCTGCTGACCCCAGACTGCCAAGGTGAGAAGCAAAGGCCAGGCCCATACTTGTTCAATGGAATCTGTCCTGGGCTCCAAGCCCAACTCCACCTAGAGAGTTGTTACCAAGCGTGTTTTACCCAATGAGATCCTGGAGGGTGGTGTCAGCCATTCCGGTGGGGCCAGTCCCCCCCTCACCCCCACCCCGGGCCCTTTTCAACATCTGTGGCCTGTTCATGGCACATAGCGGGTGCTTTCACGGGGCCAGCCCATCACCAACAGGCAGATTGGTTAGCCCAAAGATGGCTGCGTGGTCGAGGCCTTTGTCTGCCTCCTCGCTGTGGACCGGGACGCCATAGTGGGTGTGGTACAGGGTGTGCTTGCTTTTCTCACCTGACACCGGCCACCTCTCGCCCTCTCTCCTCACTCCACCCGCCTCAGCCTGAAGCACCCAGGCACTTCTCCAGCACCCCATCTCCCTGCATACATACCTTGCTCTCCAGCAAAATGCAGCGAAGCCCAGCTTTCAGCATAACTGGTTGAACTCCTGGCTTTACTGCTCCTCCACTCCCTGACTCCACTCTGCCAGACTGTCCTCTGCCCATCAGCTCTGCACCTGCCCCTCTGCACTCCTGCACCACCGCCTGCCTTGGCCACAGATCCTTGGGGCTATCTCCTACCAGCTCCCTTGCTTGTTGAACCCAGGTGCCAGGCTGGACTCCCAGCCTGGCATGGATATGCCTAATGAAGAAAATAAGAGTCTAATGGAAACCAAGTTCTGATCCCTGTTTTCTTCCACCCAAACCTTTGCTAGTTTGCCCTGCCAGATTTTTTTTTTTTTTCTGTCTGGGTCTCAGGGCTTCTCCTGCCACTTTTGGGACACTTGTGTCATGCTGCCCCCTAGTGGAGTTCAGGCTCACAGCCATAGGAGGTGAGTTTCCAATTTACTCTTATCCAGCGCCCTGTCTGGAACCACAGCTGGATGATTTCCCTTGACAGGAAACCAGAAGCCATGTTAGGAAAACAGTTAAACAAATGAGGAAATTCCTCTGGAATTTGAGCTACATTAACTCTGAAGCTGGCGATGTTACCCACTGGGAGACTCGGAAATGAGAAAGGTGCCCGAGGCTGGGCAGCTCTGGATCTAGGCTCTGAATTGCTCTTCCTACCTGCTTCTCTGTCTCATAGTGGCATGGTAACAGTAGAAGGGGCTGTGGCAGTAGGGACGCGCTTACCCTGTGCCTTACAGTGTTACCATTTTAATCCACTAGCCAGGCTATGATCTTAGACGCTGTTATGACCCCTTTTCCAAAAGAAGAAACGGCGGTATAAGAAAGTTAAGTGATTCACACCGAGTCCCCCAGGAAGGGATGCAGCTGGAGTTCACACTTTCGAGGTCTGGCACTAGAAGATCCGCCTTTACATGTGCAAAAAACTAGGACTTTGGGCCAACATCTCCTGCCTGCAGGCACACCATCCACAGAGGCCCTGAATATAGAAGACACAATAGAGCCAAGTGGCTGGTTTTACAGGCCTGGAAACAAACAACGAGAAATAAACTATGTTGGGGCTTCTGCCAACTCCTACCTGCCTGTGTGAGCTTGAGATAGTTGCTTGGTCTCTCTGTTCGCTGATTTTCCCTTTGGTGCAAAGGAGCCAGAGGGACTGGCATTTTCAGGGACTGTGCGGGCGTGGGGGGTACTCATTAATCAGGAGCTTAGCCACTACGCCTAGAAGTATAGGGTATCAGTGGGTTCATCACTCACCTCTCTTCAGTGCAAGTTGCTTGAGGGCTAGAGGAGCCCACCTCTGGAGCCCTTTCCCGGGGTGGGACTCCCGAGGGATAGCAGAGCCACGCCCCTCCTGCAGCCAGGCAAGGATAAGGCCGTGGATAAACTACCCTTCCAATGCCTTTCTGTCTTTTGTGGTCTAGGTGTGGAAAAGGGAAGCTGGAAGACGGGGATGGCATCAACCTGAATGACATAGAGAAGGTCCTCCCAACCTGGCAGGTAGGTCCTCAGTCTGCTCTCTGCCTGGGCGCACCTGCTGGTCCCTTGCTCCATCTGTGGTGGTGTGCTGCAAGGAGAATGGACACAGTTGGGTAAATGGGGACTCGCCTTGGACCAGCTGTCCCACGGATAGTGTTTGTGGCAGCCCACCTCGGTGACACTGTAAGGACGGGCCTCTGTCCCTCGAATGAAGGGGACTCGTGCTGGTCACTACCCCAGCTGGGAATTTGTTCCTTGACCTGAAACCACAGCGGGTGAGCACTCGACAGCGCGCTCATGTGGACAGCAGATCTACAGAGTGGCTGATGTGGCTTTCGTCCTGCCAGCCTCTGCTGTGATTGCTCATTTTGTCCCTGATTTGGCTCCTTTACCAGAGCGGGCCCAAGCTCCAAGACAGAGGACTCGCTCAGCAGAGCTGAGTGAACTCGGGTCTAGAGATGCCAATAATTTGAGACTTCAAAGGAAATGGAGGGTGATGACCTGCCGCTCCTTTACCGCGTCACCTGCTCTTCTCACCCCCCCCCCCGATCTCGCTGTTTGACCGTCACTCCTCACACTTTCCTGTCCTTGTCCTCTCTGCGCTGCCTTGAACCTGTCACCGAGAGAGGCGGGGAAGCCCACGGCACAGCCCCAGGCACTTCAGTGAGCGTGAGCAGGCAGGGGCTCATCCCCCCTCTCTCTCTCTCTGGGTTTACCGAGTTTCTTAGATCTGGAGTTTGTGGTTTGGTCATTTTTGGAAGTGTGTGTGTGTGTGTGTGTGTGTGTGTGGACACACACGGGTAGATGGAAACCCCGTTGCTATCTGCTACCCCTCAGGTTTTCCTTCCATTACTGTGATAAACATCATGACCAAAAGCGACTTGGGAAGGAAAGGGTTTATCTCGTCTCACAGCTTACCATCGTCTATTTTGATGGAAGTTGGAGCGGGAACCTGAAAGCATGAACTCAAGCAGAAGCGTGATGCAGTACTGCTTACTGACTTGCTCTCTTGGCTTGCTCAGCCCAGGGATAGCCCCGCCCACAATGGGCTGCCCACCCCCATCAATCATCAGTCAAGAAAATGTCCCCACAGACTTGCCCACAGGTCCGTCTGATGGAGGGAATTCCTATCTTAAGGTTCCCCCCCCCCCATGACCTGAGCTTTTGCCAGGTTGATGAAAAGCTAACCAGCACGTAGACCAGCCTGGAGCTGGACAGTGTAGTTAAACCGGCTGGCCAGCAAGTCCCGGGGTCCTCTGCCTCTTCCTCCCCAGCGCTGGTATTTACAGGCATGCTGCATCACACATGGCTTTAACGTAGATCCTGAAGATGGCACACTGGTTCCCATGTGTGTATAGCAAGCACTTGACTAGCCAGCCATGTTCTCCTTCAGTGTATATCCTCCTCCACCCCCACCATCTTCCAACTGTCTGTAGTCCCTCCCTCTGTCTCCCCCCCCCCCCCCCCGTTCTCATTCCCTGTGGCTTGCCAAAAATCTGTTCTGTTTTTCAAGGTCTTTTTCCCCTCTTTCCTTATTTGGGGTAACTTCTGCGGTCATCCCTTCAAGTTCCCTCATCTTTTCCGCAGTATCTAAGAGCTGTTAATCCCCTGTGGTGTGTTTCTCATTTTTAGAAGTTACTGTGGGTCTGTCTCTACTGCCTTCTGTGTCTCGTGTGTTTTAGCATGAGACTAGCTTGATGTTCTTCCCACTACTCCCGTTTCTAGAACCACTACCGTCTGTTTCTATTGTTTGTCCCTATGTAGCCCAGGTTGACCCTTCTGCCATAGCCTCCTGAGTCCTAGATTACAGGTTGCTTATAGGTCATAGTTCACAGCATATCGGCATGTAAGGAGTGGGGAGTGGGCTGGTAAAGTGTTACAGTGCATGAGCAAGCTTGTTGCACAAGCCGGTGGCCCGAGTTCAATCCCTGGCACCTGCACAAAGTTGTCCTCTTACCTACACTACCCAGGCTGTTGCCTGTACACACAGACACACAGACACACACAAACACACACATACACACATACCACACACACACAAACACACACACCACATGCTTACACATACACACCACGCACACACACACACACACACCACATGCACACACAGAAAGTGAGAACTAAATTCTTAAAAGACAACTACAAAAAGCAAGTGCGGGAGAGGGAGAGGATCCTGGAACGAGAGAACGGAAGTGTCAGCCCTTCACTACCTCGTCTCAGGGGTACAGCATGTTCTTCCATACGCCACGTGCTGGTTGCACAGACCAACCCTGCTGCATCACGGGAAGGCCTGCTCAGCTGCGGGATCATACAGAGGAATCCACAGTTCTAAAACACTACGGGAAATTCCCGTGTGCGGCAGGAGTCAGCAACCTCCAATTCCAGCTGATTCTGCCCGTGGCTAGCCACTGCATGGGGGCTTTGCGTTTCCCGGAGATGATGCTGACAGCTCTCTAGCCCAAGAATTCCAGGTCCCAGAGAAGCAGATGCTGAGGAGATGCCCTGAGAGCTCTTAACATTCCTCAGAGCACCGCACAGAGGAAGGTGCCTACACCAGTTATCTATCGGGGCTCCTGGGTGCCGGCTGCCGTGGCCCTGGCATCGGTGTGTGCAAGGCTTCCAGGTTTGGGGTCACATAATGCAGTGCTGGGTGTCTGGGACTCCTCACCTCAACCACTGAGTGCCAGTGACTGGAGAGGGTGTATCGTGACCATCAAACTAGAAGGCACAGTGTGTCCAAGTAAGGCCATATAAGGAGGAAAAGTCTCCCTAGCTTAGGGTCCCTGGGCATGTGCAGAGATAAATGAACCCCCAGCAGAAACCCACTAGCTCCGTTCCCTCCCAACTGGAGCCAAGAGCTGGATAAGGGGGGTCAGCCTGGGCTCATTTCCTGCCAGCCCTCCACTCTCTCCCCAAGGGAGGAGAGACACTGAGGCCCCTCTAGCTCTGTCCCCAACGCCCAAGCTACTCCCTCCTGTCTCTCGATCCAGCTCACCTGGCCAGCCTCTGTCCCAGGCTCAGTCTGCCCTCCCTGCAGTGCAGCTGGCCCTGTCCCCATCTGTCTTGACCTTCATCCCTCTTTGCTTACCCGGCTCATGCCTTCTCTACCTTATGGGCCCCTTGTCCTGGGAAGGTCCCCTCCCCCGTGACATCCCCTCAGATACACAGGGAGAGTCTGTCCTCCTAGTGCCCCAGACTTCCTGTCACCCCTGCAGGATGGCTCCTGTCTCAGTGTCCCTGCTCATTTACATATCATGACTCCCTCCCTGGACTAGGACCCCAGAGGGTGATGGCCATATGTCCTTCTTAATACAACCTTAGTCCTTGTTGAGGGGACACTGTTGAAGAATGGCTTTCTAGAGGCCCAACTGTAGCCACCTGGCGGGTCCAACTCATGGGAGTTGTACTGGTCTGACATCGAGGCTGTCCCCTGCATCACCACACCCCGCCTCCGCCCCAGCTAAGAGCGTCCCCTATCACTTCCTACCGGTGCTTTAGTGCCAGCCTATCTGTGCTCTTCAGTGTGTGAGTTCTGAGGTATGTCTTGAAGTGTCCCCATCATCTCTTGTGTTAGGATTCCATAGGCCACAACACAGTATTAAACCTTCGAATCTCAGCAGCTTCACACACTAGGGTGGGTGATCCAAATGTCCCCAGCTTACTTCCTTGGGGACCCAAGGGTCTAGTTGGATTGTTTGTAGTCCTGCCACCCCCGTGGCATCTAGAGAGCCCTGGCAGAAATAAGAGAGGTTCATGCCCTGGGTCTTAAATGTTTGGTTCCTGTGGGACAGTTAGTCACGTGACTGCGCTCCACTGTAGTGCAGCATCAGGGGAGAGAGCAGGCAGCCACTCAGTGGGCAGCAGATGCCACTGCCAACCTTCCTCTGTCCTCCCTCACTCAGCTAACGTTCACAGCCAGGTATTTTGCTCCAGCCTTCTAGAGAGAATGCATGTGTTCCTCAGGAAGGTCATGGTCCCTTCCAGGAAATGACGAGTAACAGACTGAGTGCCGCATCCCTAGAGCAGTAAATGCCAGTCAGATGCTGGCACCTTGCCCAGGTCAGAGTCCCTTGGGGCAAAGTCTGTGTCCTCTCCCTACAGGCGCCACCTTCCTCCCCATAGTGATGCAATTTCCGAAGCCTTGGGGCATAGAGCAGAGGACCCCAGTGGCTCCAGGCTTAATGCTTGCGGCTCTCCTGAGAGCACAGGAGGTGTGGGGTAGGGAGGGTGCCTCGGTTGGCGAGCAGCCATGACACTGGTCCCTGGCCCAGCCGCTGTAGCCAAGGCCCAGCACCCCACCCTTGGCAATCCTACCTGGGTATACTTCCACGGCGAACAGCGAATCCCTTTCCATGCAAACCATGGGGATTCCTATTGCTGGGGATGCTGGGGCCTTTGGGCCAGGCCTAGGCCCAAAGGGTAGCAGGGTAGGCTATGTCAGAGATCACCCCAGCTGTAAGAATGGCTCCCCACCCACAAATAGCATTTAGTAAGGGCCGGCGCAGATGAGGTTTGGCTGTGTCCCTTCTGCCCTTTTTATGTGTGTGTGCGCGGGTCCTGTGGAGGTCAGAGGACAACCTCAGGTGTCATTACTCGGGCAACCCTTCTGCCTCCTTTGAGACAGGGTCTCTTTGTAAGCCTGGCGCTCACAAGTTAGACTAGACAGGCTGGCCAGCAAGTCCCAGGACTCCTCCTGTCTCTACCTTCTCGACCCTAGGATTGTAACTGCATGCCTTTCACACGGCTCCTGGGAATCGGACTCAGGTCCTCCTGCTTGTGAGGCAAGCATTTCACCAACTGAGCCATCCGTCTCTCCAAGCCCACTGATGACGTAAGAGTCACCAAGGCCCCCTTACTGAGGCAGCAGTAGGAGAGGAAGAGAGGGGTAAAAGACCCCTGTAGGCTTTACAGCACCCACTAGCACAAGGGCTGTGTGGGGGCTTACGCTAGCATCGCTCTCCAGGAGCTGTCGTCAAGTGAGGCAGCAGGAGACACGATGGACTCAGGGTTCAGTCATTGTG